GGGAAGGATTTTTGTCGGTTTCGTTCCCTTCTGTATCCCTGGTTTCAGAACTGTGCCTAGCACATAGCATGCACTTAGTAAGTATTTCTAAATGAATGAATCTGTGAATGAATAAATGGCTCGGTTGGAGAGTAGACACCTTAAAGATTTTGACACATACTGACAAATTGGCATCTGCAGTGGTTTTTCTAGTTATACGCCAACCAGAAATGCATAAAAGTACTTGTTTTCCGATGGTCCTTACAACGGTGGATTCTTATTCTTTTCATTTTGTGAATCAGGTAGATGGCAAACATGATGTTCTTTTGCTGTTTGTATTTTTTATTAAGATTGCACAATTTTTTTCATATCTCTGCAGCATAAAAGAGCAGCTCTTACTCCCGTGTGTGTCTTTTATTAGAGGGAAATCTTTTTTTTAAATCCTTCCCTTTTCCTCCATCCCAAGTCACTGGCAAGGGGCATGAGAACAGCATGATTGTCTCAGGGTTGTCATGATTCAGTTCCTGGGGCAAGGGGCGTGAGACCGCCACGATTGTCTCAGAGTTGTCGTAATTCACTTCCTGGCGCTGAGGAGAGGCCTAACTTCCTCTAGAAACTGGATAAAATCAGGATTCTCGTAGCAAATGAGAAGCGGGAGGATGGCTATGGAGAGGCAGTCACGGTGTAGTTCACTTGCTGAATTAACCCTTGCTTGATGACCAGTGTCTTAATTATCTTTTAAAATGCGACAAGGCGGCCCAGTGGCTTAGCGGTTAAGTGTGTGCGCTCCGCTGCTGGCGGCCCGGGTTCGGATCCCGGGCGCGCACTGACGCACCGCTTCTCCGGCCATGCTGAGGCCGCGTCCCACATACAGCAACTAGAAGGATGTGCAGCTATGACATACGATTATCTACTGGGGCTTTGGGGGGAAAAAAATAAATAAATAAAATCTTAAAAAAAAAAATAAAATGCAGCAAGGATGCTGTGTTTTCAATTAATGTTTATTACTGAAATAATTCATGATCATTATTGAAAACTTGGAAAATACAGAGAGGTAGAAGGAAGAAGTATCTAGGAGTCCCACCACTCAGATAATTCACCCAAATATTTGAATATTTACTAGGAAGTTTTTCTTATATTTCCTTTGGTCTTTTTCTTTGCATATTTTTATATAGCTTTGATAATTCTGTATATACTTGTAGCAATCTTTTCATCTAAACCTGTGGCAGTCATTTTTTCATGATTTTATTATTTTTTTTACAAAGTACGTGCTATTTCATGCCTGCATGACTTTCCATGGACTTGGATAAGTTTCATATCGTTTCCTATTTTGGGATGTAACGTTCTTTTTTCCCCCAGAATTATCAATAATAATGCCATTGTATCTTAATGTATAACACTTTTTCAGTTTTTAGGGTTGTTTTGATGGGAAAAATTCCCAGCAGTGTCACAGTTCATGAACATTTTTACTGCCAAATTGTTTTTCAAAAGAATTGTCCACTTGAACTGCCAATAGTAATGTTTGCAAGTGGAGCTGTTTTATGTCAGTGAATTTGTGTCATAAGGAAATGGGCCGTCGACCTGTTCCCTTTCGGACCTGTAACAGTTGGAACTTGATTCAGAATAAACACTAATAAAAGCTTGAATGACTCTAGTGGTCGTAGTTCAACAGTCTCCTACGGCAGCTTTTTGCAAATTTTAATAGCCCAAGGGGTTTTGATTTCCTTTTATTTTCTTTTCCCCTCTGCTGTTTTCCTCCCTCCCGGGTTTAAAACATGTTTTCCTGGCTATGGTAAAGCCTTGGTACTTCTTGTTCTGTCTTTGTGGATTAATGAGTATAATTGACCCCTGTTGTCTCTATTATACAAGCCACAGCAATTTGTTTTTATGTAGCAGTTATTTTCTGAGCTGTCACAAAACTGCCTTACAATTTGAGCTCATTATCAGCCCAGAGGAAAAGAATTTTAAGTTACAAAGTGAATGAGGGTCTCTAAGAGAAGGAGATGGAGAAGTCTAGGCTGTTCGAATGCTCAAGGAAATGAGGGCGTTCTAGGGGCAGAATAATTAGTTGTTGCTTAGGCACCCAGCAAGACTTGGTTATCTCTTGAAATTACTAGATTAAAAACGGCTCCTTATAGAGAGAGTCTTGAAAACTGGATGTAGAAGGATTGAATGTAGGTAGAGGAAACCACAGGAGCATGATGTTTTGTGGAGTGGGTTGAAGCCCATTGTAAATTGGTGGTTATGAACATGATTACAGAAGATCCAGCTAAATGTCTATCTCTAGGAGGAGGAGGGAACTGCTCAGTTGGAAAGTTTTATCTGAACAGATATCGACCATAAATAGTACCCAGATTCCATGTTATATCAGAAAATGGTTTGCTATTCATGTATATAGGTTTTTTCTTATTTCCCCTTCCCCCCAATAATCTTGATGAGATTTTTCTCAGCTCACAAAATAAACTAAGGAAGTAGCAGAGGTCCAGGGAAGAGATACTAGAACAGAAGGAGATCTTGACTTTAGCAAAGTCACTCTGCCACAACCCTCAACAAATAGGGTCCTTCTGTGCAGAGATTCATCTTGTCTTCAGCTGTTCAGTTGAGTGCTCTTCTGGGAATGTCTTGTTACATAACCTGTCTTCATCAATCCTGCCCTACTTTTCTCCTAGGTAAAGAGAAGGGAGTTAACCACAGAGGGAAGGAAAAACATCTTGAGTAGCAGCAGTAATTAGTAATGGTGGCTCTGAATCATGGAATACAGCAGCTAGAGGAGACTTGAAACGTCTTCTCTTTATTTTGTAAATTAGTAGATAATAAATGTCAGGCACCAAAGATTTAATTTACTTTTACCTTGGTTCATCCAGTTCCTGGTGGAACTTCGTCTAAAACCAGTTCTCCTTGCTGGCTCAGTACCCTCCCTACCATTAGGGGTCTTCCTACCAGTGTGAGGTGTGTGTGTTTTGGCGAATTCTCCTGTTCTTATACATTAATGCAAGGATTTGATCCAAAACACTTCCAGAGAAACTATTCTTAAAGTGGAGGGTTATAGTAATCGTAAAGAAACTTGCATTACCTTGTTTAAGACATGTTTTGTTTTGTTTATAAGTGTTCAGAAGAAAGTTGGTTTGGTCCCTTCCAGAAACTTCTGATGCAAGAGCCATTTGGCTGGAGGGGCAGCTCTAGAGAGAAGGGTTAGGGAGAAGGGCAGGTGGAAGACTTGCGGAACTTCTTCAGACCTAGCTAGAAGGAGCTTATAGCATCTCAAAACTCTGAGACTTCTTATCTCCTTGTTGGAAAGACATGAGGAGTTGTCAGTCTTTAGAGAAGGACAAGGATGTCTTGGGAAGAGGGGGGTACCTCTGCTCCTGATGGTCATAAGGGTATGAGAGGATCGAGGGTCAGTCCTGGGCCACAGGAGGACAGCTACCTTCTTGGTTAACCTCCCCCATCTTAAAAAAAGTTGGGTAAATTGAGCTTACTTAATGAAAAGAATATTATTTTGTACTTGGGAGCAGAAATGGAGGTAGGAGGCAACCAGTATCTTGAGTTTCTTTAATAAAGAATTTCTGTAGTTGCTCCACAACTGTGGAATTTAGTCACTAAAAGTCCCTATGTTAATGAATTTTCAGGTGTAGAATATATGACAATATGGGGAAAACAAATCAGAGGACTTAGGTCAAAAATATACTTAAGAAATCCCTTATAGATTTGTTTTACATACACTTAAACTAATAACAAGAGCACACTAAATGAAGATTATAGTGACGTTTTGCACATTTTCAATTAATCCTAATCGATACTGTACTTTTTGTTTCCATTGTCATCTTTTATTCACAGAAAATGCAAATGACCCTCATATTAAGAGGCATTTTCCTTGGGTTAAGCCATACACCCAATGCCTTTCTTATTTTATGATCTAGAACTGTTTTCTCTTATCTTCTCCCATGTTTTGTCCTGGTGGTCATGATGGATATATATTGTATAATCCCTCCCCCGTCCCCTGCCATGAAATGAAATGAATAAAGAGAGAAAAAAACCACTTTGGTAAGATCTATATTTAATTAAGTTTAGTGTATGTGAATCGTTTTTCAAACCTTTCCCTCGATATCTCAGATGTGCCTCACAACTTCACCTGGAGAGGCCCGTCTTTCCCAATTCTCATTTTCCTTTCTCCTCCACAGTTCAATTCTAAGGCAAAGTTTATTCCTCCCCTCCTTTTGTTTTTTTGAAGGCTTTCTCACTAAAACTTTTTTTTTTTTTGCCATCTGCTTTACCTTCTGTTACTCTTTGAAAATCATTGCCCCATAGCATTGTTTTCCAATAAAGTCTCATGGTTTCCACGAGGATATTTAGAAGTAATTTTCACATGAACTCAGAATTGACGTGAAGGATAGTATTATTGTGTATTTCTGCAAAATGCATTATGTGCATGTGTTTTGTGTTATATCTTTTTTGTGTGTGTGAGGAAGATTCGCCCTGAGCGAACATCTGTTGCCAATCTTCCTACCTTTTTTTTTTTTGCTTGAAGAAGATTAGCCCAAAGCCAGCGTCTGTGCCAGTCTTCCTCTATTTCGTATGTGGGACACTGCCACAGGATGGCTGACGAGTGGAGTAGATCCGCACCCGAGATCCGAACCCATGAATCAGGGCCGCCAAAGCGGAGCGCACGGAACTTGAACCACTCGGCCACGGGGCCGGCCCCTTGTGTTATATCTTATCTCACCTCTTCTCCCCTAAAGCAAATCTACCCACCGGCATGTGCTGCGGTGGGAAATTTCCACCCTTCTTCACCTGGTTTCAGGCACTGCATTATGGTAATGATGGTATACCTTACCTGTATTTAGTACATTTTCCAAAATATTTCATTCAACCCTCATAAAATCTGATGTGCTGTTGTGCTTAAGAAAGGGCTTCACCCTTTCTTTTCACCCCTTATTTGTGCCCCTTATTTTTTTAGTTACTGACACACCCTGAGGTTTAGCTTGGTTAATGCTGTCTTGTCTGTGTCTTGTCATGTGCAGGTTTCTCTGGCCAGGACTTCGACTGGGCGGATTATCACAAGCAGCATGGGACAGAAGAAGCGCCTCCCTTCTGCTTCAGAAATGTAAGAGGCCTGGTTCTTGCTACTCCTTTTATCACAGATGTTGTTCCCTATAAATTTTATAAGTTACTTTCTATTTATTAGGCAAGATTCGAGTGCTACTGTGTACCACAGGATCCTAAAGCTTGCGTAGTTTTTGAAAAGTCCTCCTCTCAGGTCGTCTGTTAGTTAGGGTGATGCTGGGCTGTAGTAACAAGTCGACTGCTGGATGTATAGTGGCTCAAACTCATTGTGTGTTTATTTCTCACTTATGGAAGAGTCCAGGGTGTTCCTGATTAGTTTAGCGGATGGTTCTTCTTGTGGTGAGCCTTGGGCTGGATCTGTCTTGGCTTCATCATCTGAATCTAGTGAGCAGATCGGAAAAGAGATCCAGAAGAAGAGATCACTAGTTCTAAACACTGTTGCTGATATTGGCACATATTACTCCGTTCTCCTTCCATTGATGACAACTAGTCACTCGACTGCACCATGCCATGAGTGAGGCTAGGAAATGTGCCCTGGCTGGGCTACTGTTCTCAGCCGTGATTCCATGCTATGGAGCAAGAAGGAAGAATTTTGGTGGCCAGCTAGCCGCCTGTGCCACCATTAGCTGTGCACTTGCTGTGGAGTGTCATATTGTTAAGCCCATTCATTGATTGAGGTTCTCTGCTCCTGAGATGTATACTTAAAATATGTTCTTAAATTTTTTTCTCTTGGATTACTTTAATAAGATGCTTGTCCGACAGTTTTGTGCTTTGCTTACTTTAAGCCACTTCCTTGTTCAAACAGAGCTTATTGGCATGATGACTCATAAAATAGCAGTGCGTGTGTGTGTTTACACATGTGTGCTTGCTCAGTTACAGGAGTTGGTTGTATAAAGTAGTTTTTAAGTTGTTCCTTTAAACTTCAAGTTTAAATTAATTCATTTAAACTTCAGCAACCGTAGGAACTCTGAAAAGGGATGTGGATTATTATCTCTGTTCTAAGAATGAGGCATAAATGTATAGCCTAGTGTGTTGAGCGTGCATTTAGTCATTAGAGTTAATTCCTTATGCTGAGAAAAAAGATACAGTCCTCCAGTTGGGGACTGCAGATCCCCAACAATACAGAGCGCTCCCAAATCAAAGGCTTGTGTTCCAGACATGTGCTCCTAGGGCTGCTGACTCATTGCTACCCCACCTATAATTTGTACTACGGGGATAACAGAATATGAGAACGGAGAGGCTGGAAGGGTTGGCTTAATAGAGAGAAGCTCCATACTGAACATAAGTCAAAAACGGATTTTGGAGGATTAAGTAGGTTGATTACTGGGTCATCTTGTACTCATACATCCAGAAACAAGTCAGTGGCAGAGTTGGAAATCAGGGTTCCCTAAAGGATTAAATGAACTTTCTACTGAATGGCATTGCCTTTGCATGAAGGTAGTTTTTCTGCAGCATTGAAAGACCGGTGTGGTGTGTGTTTAGGTTTGATGATGGGGACGGCTGTATAACTATACCATCTGGTTAGCTCTTAAGGTTCATTCAGTCCGGTGTGATCTTTCTAGACTTTTTAGCATATTGATGTCACTTGTCACAGAGTGTACTGGCCTCACTGCCCTTCATTTAGGATCTTGGAAACACTTGATCACATCCCCAGACCCCTTTTCAGTTGTGCTTTCTGCCTGACAAGAGAGAGATTCCTTCCCTGAGTATTTAACCTTGAGAGGAAAATCCTGATCTCGCCACTAGTTCTGTATTTAGGGAGTTGAATGTTCTGTGACAACACAGCTCCTCCGAAGCCTCGTCTTATTTGTCCTGTGCTCTCCTTCAGCCAGCCGTTGTCCAAATGGATTTTGATAGTGGAGCAAGTAGCCACATCCCCAGGTGGCCTCTGACCTTTCAGGATTTAGCTACCAAGATTAAATCTATCTTAATGACTCTGCTGGCGTATTCATTAGGAATGCACTTGTCAGAAATATGCCTCCCCTTTGTTTCTGATTCTCTGTTTGTTTAATCGACAGGATTGTTATCCGCCTGTTGGCATATGCATTGCATTACTGGGACTTTGCTGAATTTTGTTAGCTTGCTACAAAGTGCTCCTTAATGGAATACTTATTATAAATTCATTTCTTAATCACACATCTCATGTGTACTAGAGGAGACATAGTGTAGGAGTGGAGGCATAGAAGGCATTTCCCCAGGGATGTTTAACAATCAGAGTCAGTCCTGAAAGGGATTGACACAGCCAAATGCTTGGTAAAATAAACTCACAGGTAACAGTTTTGCTATTGATCCTTTATAAATTACCCTCAAGGGGTGAGTTGAAAGGAAAATAGGTTATGCGGTTGTAGTTTTCCCTTATTAAGTAGGATAAAATGCATTTTAACTTACTTGGAGGCTTTTCAGGCAGCCTATCAAGTTGTATTATCAAAAAGAAGCTCAACACATAATGCCCACGGATGAGGCACGATGACTTGTAGAAAAATAGCCTGCCGAGAATTTCTTTGATTCCTATTTCCAAAGAAACATAAAGGAAAGGAGCAAATTGGTATCTTAACATACAATGGATATTTTTGCTCTGGTTACTAAAAGATGTAATTGCGTTTTTAACAATGTATATAAAAAGACGTGGAAATGTGAATTACTTTGGTTTCCTTCCATGAGTCACATAAAGATGTTATCTCTGTTACTTACAAGAGCCTGTTTCTCTCAGTTTATATATTTCAAAATAGATGTTTTTATATAGTATTGTGACATCTGATTGAAATTTATAGCAGTTGGTGATTTTGGAAAATTTTGTATTTACTTTAAAATAATGTTAGGAGGGAGTTTTGCTTCCACTTGGCTGAATAAGCTCATACTGAATTGACGCTCCTGCAGAGAGCAGCTATAAACTCTGGACAGAATACCAAAACAGCTGCTTGAGGGACAGGGAGAATGAACAAAAGCAGGCAGCTTCCGGAGGGGAGCGGGTACTTAGAAGAAGGGAGCAGCATGAGGTGATCGTCCCAATATTTTCAGACTTTTGGCCTGAGGTCAGCCACAGTGGACAATGTATGGGATGATAAAAACAGTGCTATAAAATTTATAATCGTTCTGGCCTGATGAACCCAGTAACAGAATTTGGGCAACCACAGCTGCTGGAAAGGGAGGGGAATCTCAGGGGAGAGCCAAAACGGGGAACCACAAATTCTATGTATAAACTATGCCTAAATCTTGGGCTGATCCCCGAACCATGTATTTGCCAGGCAAACTCTAAGCAGCCTAGTTAAGGATGAAAGAACTGAACTGAGGTTTGATCTGCTTCCCAAGAGGCAGAGTGTGTAGTTTAAGTCCAGCCAAGTTGATTGCTTGCTAAAACAGAAAAATCAACACTCTTGGGAGGAATAGAACACAATCCAGAGTCTCTGTGACATAACATTTAAAACATCCAGATTTCAATCCAGAGTTGTTCAATACGCGAAGAAATGGGAAAGTCTGACTCATTCTTAGTAGAGGAGATAATCAACAGAGACCAAACTCAACACCAGCCAGATGTTGGAATTAGCAGACAAGTCTTTTTAAAGCTCCCGTCATAATTAAGCTCAGTGGTGGAAAGCAGTGGTTTCCAAAATGTGGTCCTTGGGCCAGCAACTTCAGCATCACCTGAGAAGTTGCTGGAAATGCAGAGTCTCTGGCCTCAGCTCAAACTAGCTAAATCACAAACTTTGGGATGAGGCCCAGCCATCTATGTTTTTAAAGGGCTCTCCAGGTGATTCTGATATACCCTAAAGTTTGAGAACCGTTGATGTAAAGGAAAATACTCTCATAATGAGTGAAAAGATAGGAAGTGCTAGAACGGAAGTTGAAAGTAATAAAAAGAGAAATTCTGGAATTGAAAAATACAATATCTGAAACAAGCAAATTCATTGAAGTGGAGTAATAGCAGAATAGAGCTGACAGAGGAAAGAGTTCATAACCTTGAAGATAGAAATTATCCTAAGAACAGAAAGGAGAAAAGATTGGTGTGTTGGGGGCAGAGGAGATGAACAGAATTTCAGGGATCTGAGGTACGGTATCGTGTGTAATTGGAGAACTAGAAGAAGAGGCCACAGAGATTGTGGGGAAAAAAAATATATGAAGAAATAATGGCCCAAAATTTACCAAAGTAGCTGAAAGTTCTGAATTTACAGGTTCAGGAATCTCAGTGAACCCCAAGCAGCATAAATACAAAGAAACCCAGCATAGTCAAATTGCTGATAACCAAACATAAAGAGAAAAATCCTGAAAGCATCCAGAGAAAAATGATACATTCCGAATAGAGGAACAATTTGAGTAACAACAAACTTCTCATCAGGAACAACAGAGGCCAAAAGACAGTGAACCAATGTCTTTAGAGTGCTGAAAGAAAAAACTATAATTCTTTATCCAGTAAAAATATAGTTTAAGAATGAAGATAAAAACAGACACTTCGGGCCAGCCCCGTGGCTTGGCGGTTAAGTGTGTGCGCTCCACTGCTGGCGGCCCGGGTTCGGATCCCGGGCACACACCGACGCACTGCTTCTCCAGCCATGCTGAGGCCGCGTCCCACATGCAGCAACTAGAAGGTTGTGCAACTATCTCCTGGGGCTTTGGGGGAAAAATAAATAAATAATTATTTAAAAAAAAAAAACAGACACTTCACCAGGGAAGATATACTAATGACAAAGAAATATATGAAAAAATGCTCAATGTTATTAGTTGTAGGGAAAATGAAAGTTAAAACCACGATGAGATACCACTAGATCTACCTATTAGAATGGATAAAATTTGAAAAACTAGCAGTATCAAGGGCTAGTGAGGCTTGTTTAGCAGCTGGAACTCCATATACTGCTGATGGGAATGTCAAATGGTATTTTGGAAAATAATTTGGCAGTTTCTTAGAAACCTACATTTACTATATGAATAGGATCCAGCAGTCCTATTTCTAGGGAAATAAAAACAGCGTTATAGGCTGATTTACGTCCTTCCAAAATTCATACCATGAAGTCCTAACCCCCAGTACCCAGAATGTGACTGTATTTGGAGTTAGAGCCTTTAAAGAGATAGTTAAGGTAAAATGAGGTTGTATGGATGAGCCTTAATCCGATATGAATGGAGTCCTTATAAGAAGAGGAGATTAGGACACACACCACGTGCATGGAGGCAAGAACATGTGGAGACACAGGGAGAAGATGGCCATCTACAAGCCAAGGAGATTGATTGACCTCAGGAGAAACCAACTCTGCCCACACCTAGATCTCAAGACTTGTAGTCTCCTGAACTGTGAGGCAATAGATTTCTGTCGTTTAAGTCATCTGGTCTGTGGTATTTTTTTATGGCAGCTCGAGCTGACTAATATACTTATGTTCACACAAAAACTTGTACTTGAATATCTATAGCAGCTTTATTCACAATCACCAAATATTGGAAACAACTCGAATGCCCCTCAACTGGTCAATGGATGGACGAGCTGTGGTGCATCTATATAAATGATTCCGTTTATATGACATTATGGAAAAAGTGGAATTAGGAACAGAAAACAGATCAGTGGTCTAGGAATTGGAAGTCTAGGAGGGACTGATTACTGAAGGGCCGGTGCAAGGGGGTTTTGGAGGTGAAGGAACTGTTTTGTGTCTTGAACGTGGGTATGGCTGCACGATTGTATGCGTTTCTTTAACAGCCCCACCTTTGTGGAACCCCCAGTGTACCAAAAAGGGTGAATTTTCCTATATGTAAGTTTTTAAAAAGTGAATTTAGAAAGTAAATAAAAATAAGCAAGCAAAAAAGCACAAAGGAAAAATAAAGACCATTTCAGGTAAAAGAAAACTATGGGAATTCATCACCAGCACTAAACGAAATGCTAAGGGACATTCTTCAGGCTGAAGGAAAATGATGCCGGATGGATACTCCATCTATTTCCTCTAACGTCCTCAAATATGTCCACCTCTAAGGTTAGTGAGGAATTTAGGGAAGTAGGAGAAACAATTGGTACCTCAGTGACCTTGTGGAAGTGAGGGTGCACATGGAATTGGAAAGAGAGAGTTGCTTCATCCTGGCACTCATTCAGCAAATATTAGGCACCTGCTGTGTGCCAAGCCAAGTTCTAATTTCTGGGATACAAATGAAGAGGGTGTGGTTCTTTCCCTGTGAATAGTGGGAAAAGACATGTGAACGAGCCTGTCCGTCTCGTCGATAAGATGCCTGTGTGTGCCCTTCTGCTTCGCCAGCTCGGTTGCTGCACGATATCTTGCTGTGGTATCTCCTGGCTCAGTGTCTGTTCTCTCTCTCTTTCAGACATCCTTCAGTCGGGGTTTCACAAAGAACATGAAGCTTGAAGCCGTGAACCCCAGGAATCCAGGAGAACTCTGTGTGGCCTCTGTCGTCACTGTGAAGGGGAGGTTGATGTGGCTTCGCCTGGAAGGTACGCTCAGTGATTACTCGGAAGGACGTAAGGTCCGTGCAGAAGAGGCAGGGCGCAGAAGACCTCAGCCCTTTTCGGAAGGGCCCCTTTTGTGTTCCTTTTATTGAAACGGATCTTATATTATTCAGTGTTCTTAAATAAGTGAAACTAATCAAATATAAATTCGTTCAAAGGTTCTCGTCTTAACTAATAATTTCATGAAATGAGATGCCGGTGTGATAATTATGTTTGGAACACAGTGGTCTTTCTACATTGGTGATTATAAAAGCTAATATCACAATTAAATTAATATGAGTCACTAAAACCGGTTTCTGAGGTCTTGGTTATTATGAGGTTAAAATTATACATTTGCATTTTAATGTGAATAATACCTTTTATTTTGGTTTCATCCTTAGATGTTTGATTTTTCCTTAAAATAGTAGCTGGAGATGACTTTTCTCCCAAATATATAATAAATAGGATTTAGGCTTATTTGTTTAATGGTGTTTTAACTGTTCTTTATAGTGACATTTTATTTACAGTTGTACAGATAATTCACAAAAGGATGTACTTTGTAAGCAGAACCTTGATCCGATTTTGGATTTAGATAGAAGACTAGATTTTCCAGATGTTATATTTTCAGTGAGAAAGAATTAAATGAATTTGATCTCTGAGGTTTTTCCCACCTTTCTGTGATTTAAAATACTTTGGAGTTTTCTTGTTTGTTTTTCAGTTTCATAACCCTCAGTAGTTATATTCCAAATGTATATGGAAAAACAATACAACTGGATATGAATAATAATGTTAGATTTCCTGGCCATATTTTAAATCTTTTGACATGCTCATACCACCATTGGAATAGAAGGTTTGGAAGATGATAGAATTGGTGCCAATATCTTCATCCTTCTTTCCTCAATAAGCAAGTCTAAAAAGCATTGAGATTTTTTAGATAAACTTACCATTTCATAAACATTATAGTCCAAGAGAATGAAAAGGGTAGAGAACAGTGAGTTTAGCTGAACGTGATATGTGTTGTTAATGCCCAGGAAATATTTTAAAACATAGCTATGGTTTAGGATTTCAAAATCAATTTCAAATAAAAGGAAATTCTCAAAAAGTTGATGGCTTCGTGGATTTTCAAGTAGAATGGCCTCTCGTTGGAATTAGCCAAAATGTAGACACAGGTGTCATGGTGATGTTTCTCCAGGAATAGAACGTGACCTTATTTTCATTACTACGTGTAAAGTTGAGTCCACTGCTCGTGGAAACCAAGATCCCTTCTGCGATTTCAAATCCCTGCCTTGAACCTGCTGCCTCGTACTATGCTAAGCCATATTAAGAGACTGGAGTCTTGTTGGCATTATTAATTTGAAAACAAAAATGGTGAAGTTCAAAGCCCGCGTTTCATCATTATTATTTAGCACCTTATGGTTAAAATTCTGTGGCAGTCATCATTTATTTAGCAGTTTGTACTTGCAAACGCTTTACAGCTGTTAATTACCTAACGCAGACGGCAGTAAGAGTGCCCTGGTTTTTTGGTTTTTTTTTTATAATTTTGTTTATTTATTTTTTCCCCCAAAGCCCCAGTGGATAGTTGTATGTCATAGTTGCACATCCTTCTAGTTGCTGTATGTGGGACGCGGCCTCAGCATGGCCGGAGAAGTGGTGCATCGGTCCGCACCCGGGATCCGAACCCAGGCCGCCAGCAGCGGAGCACGCCCACTTAACCACTAAGCCACGGGGCCAGCCCCCCCCCAAAATTTTTTTAAATAATCTATTGAATATTATCTACCTGGAATTACTGGTCAAAATTATGCATTTGTCTCATCAAATAAAATAAAATTCCATTCAATCCCCTTGATCTTGCTTGGATTTTGGGGTTTTTTGTTTTTGTTTTGGCTTTTTCTAAACATTTACCTTTTAAAATGACAACAAACTTAATGGCACTGATTTCTCATTATTTCACAGTTTCATGTATATAGTGTTTTCTTTCCTCAGTCCTGGAGACATAATGTTAAAGATTCACTGTGGTCACTTTGTGGCTGTTAAATTATTCTTATGATGATGGTGATTCTGATTATAGACGATTGATTTGACACTTTAAATTTATAAATACTTCGTAACAATTTGTTAATTATTTTAATGCATTAAATTGATTTGAAGTATCTTCAACACTTGGCTGATTGACCACTTTTAGGTAATTAAAATGATCTTTTTTTTTAATGGTTGACTTCTCTTGAAGTCAGATAGTTCTTTAAGTATCTGTAAAGGAGCTGCTGTTGAAGAGGGAGCAATAAATAAAATATATGAGATTACTGTAATTATTATTTTAGGTGCATATTTGAAAAGAATTTCAAGCTCTTACAAACCGTTGACAGTGAGCAAGGGCAGTTTAGGATGAGGGGTTTTGCGTTTCAGAAAAGATGCTGCAGTGTTTTCTCTTATGTTAATATTCTCCTCTAGGTTATCCTATCTACAGTTGTGAGCATTCACCATATAATATCAGTTACTTTCAGTTTAATGCCTCTAGCATTGCAGCCACATGCATTGGCTCACACGCTCATCCACCTGCTTTCTCACAAGCCGAGTCGCTTTACAGTCAATTTAGATCATTTTCTTATGGGACAACTAGGGTGTGGGTGTTCTATTCGCCCTCCCAGCCCTGTGACTCCCTAAAAGGGTCTATATCTTTGCATTGCCTTCCTTGGTTTCTCTTATCCCCATTATTATTAATATTATTTTATGTCATAAAAGGTATGATGTCTACAGGCTTCATTTCTGTTAAGTTATTTAGCTCTTTGAGTTGTTGCTACTGCAGAAATTTTTGTAGAAAGGTTTAGAATGTGAGCAACACAGCCTGGTTTTGAAATTGGGAGCACTGCTCAAATAAAAACAGGCGGGAAATTCTCAGTTAGTGTTTTTGCACTTTGAACATAGGAAGAGAATGACGGCCCCATAAGAATTGTTACCCATTGCTCTCAGTTCCAGTTTGTTAAAAACAAATATACAGAGAACAAAAAAACAGAGAAGTATCAAAATATAAGTTGAGGGAGCTTACCTCACACCATCTACTATGTTATTACCAGCATCTCATCGTCTTTACTTTTTTGCTGCCCTCTGAACTGAAATCTAGAGAAAAGAAAATCTTTTCACAGTCAGTACTGGGAAAACATACTGTGTAAATTTCAGTCTGTGAATCTGTGCTATGTGTAGCTTTTTAGAGTTCAGGAATTGAGCCTTTTCACGGTGAACTTCGCATGCCACACTGACGAGCACAGAACACGCAGAAACAGATGTGATCCCTGATTTCCGCAGGTGATAGCCACCATGAGCAATGTGCGGACTCCAAGTCTGTCCCTCATGTAGCATTTCAGCATAGGTATTTAAACACAAGGCCCAGTGACAGTTCAAGGATGGATATGATCTCTTCTTTGCTCCTCTTAAGAAATGCATACCCTTCAGAATTGTCCAGAGGCATTTCCTGACTTATCTGACATTCTTGCAGCTTCTTGGCTGCAGTGAGGTAGGTCTCTTGGCTTGTGCTCCTCTGCTGGTTTCCTTTTCTCCTCTTAAGTTTTATGTACCCTCTGAGGTCAGGGACCCTATCCTTGCATTCTTACCTGCTACTGGCAGTGTCCAAAGCCGGGTGACCCGTGTTGTTGGGAGTGATGGCAGAAGGACACAGACCTTTTACTGTAGACGTGTGAACTTTCACATAGACCGTTGTTTTGCCCTTGTCTTTTCCCTGTTCTCAGCCATCGCCTGCTGTTTCCAACTCCAGGTCGCTCTGATTCATCTTTTCTAGAGGGAACCTCCAGCTGTCCGCCTGGGCAGAGGCGTCAGCGGCTCTAACTGCTTCTTAGAGAGACTTTGAACCAGCTGCCTCCCCTCAGTTCCGCCTCTCCCATCCCTTGCCTCCAGTCCACTGTCTGTCTAGGTTCCAGAGGCCTGAACTAGCTTGCTCCTTGCCTTCCGTGTCTTCTGTCCTTTGTAGACTCTCAAATATTTGATGAATGAATAAATGAGCTAGTGAATGAATGAATGAATCAGATAACACACTGACTAAGTAAGGTTGTTGGAGTGTTGTGCCTGAGCCCCTTGTGGCAAAATCGATTCCATGTCAGGCATGGGGATGAGGGCCAAGACCAGGTGGGCATGACAAAGTATTTTCATAGAGGGCCTGGGTCATTCCTTACCAGATTCCTGGAAAATTAAATCTGCTTTGGACCAGGTGACCTTATTAGGGCTGAGAAGATGCTGGCCCTCCTGGAACGGTCCCCAGTCCCAGAACAGATTTTTACATTTGCAGTGGGACAGACCTCTTTGAGATTCTGATAAAAGCTGTTGACACTCAGAAAAATGCCCTTGCATGTGTATATAATTTTTGGTGCAATTTCAGACAGTTCATGGGCCCTCTCAAAACAGTTCTTGGCTGGGCCTCCTTGGAATTCATGGACCCCAGATCAGAACCCCTGCAGGAGAGATTCTCAGGAGATATTGATAGATTTTAGATCTGTGCTGTCCAATGGGTAGCCTCTAGCCACATGTGGCTATTTTATTTTAAATTAATTAAAATTAAATTATAAGTTCGGCTCCTCAGTTGCACTCTCTGCAGTCAACTGCTCAGTAGTCATGTGAGGCTGGTGGCTGCTGTTTTGGACAGCACAGATGTAGAACACCTCCATGCTTGCAGAAAGTTCTTTGGGACAGTGCTGTTCTAGATGCTCAGATCAAGTCAAAAGTAAGTTCCTCAGGCCTGTCGAGGCCCAGAACTCAGATTTTCTTGGTATGTGGGGGCAGTAAAATGCAATTTACTCTGATAAGTAGCTCAATGCCAGGCTATGAGTTTTCAGAATTTATTAGCTGGATGAAAGGAATTTTTAGGCCCCCAAGAACTTAGGAACTGGAGGTAGAGTCCATACTGCCCCGTATCAGTCAAGAAAGCACAATGGCTATTTCAAGCTGGAGGGATTGTAACGGGAAACTGGGTGCCTGTAAGACCATTGAGAGGGCTGGAGGAC